GGTGCCCTCCCTGCCACCACCCCCAGCCCCCCGCTGCACCTTCTCCTTCAAATCACCACCCCTGCCCTTGTAATTTTTAATAATTTATTTTTAATTTAGTTTTTATTATTGGTCGGGGGAGGGGTCCCCCTCCTCACCCCACCCCCGCCTTCTCCACACACCGGAGCGGACACGCACGAGCAACCGGGATTCCCCCTGCTCCCCTTGAGGTGGAAGCCCAGGTCCTGTCCCTTCAAATGTGCCACCAACCTGCTTCCTCCCAAAACCGGGTACCTTGTGGGTGAGCCAGGGCTTTCCCTGCGGAGCGGAGAGTGCCGGAACTCAGCTGCCGGTCGGCGTTTGTCGGACAGAGGCAAAGAGGCTCTGCTTTGTTAGATCCACCGAAAAAGTATAATAACGAAAATTTATAGCAGTGGTGTGAGTCATCTTACCAAGGCTGTTCTCTGCAGGCCAGCTTTTTGGGCTTCAATGGGAGTTTCAAGGATAAAGGCATAGAGAGGGGAAGGAAAATGTAAAGCCTTTGTGGCTCAGGGATTGCACCGTGCTTCCCTCTGCCATGCCAAGCAGTCCCTCTTGGCTCTCCATCAAGCAAGCCTTGCTTCCAGCTCCAGCAGTAAGAGCAGCGGAGTAAGGTGCTTTGGGATAGCTGAATTGAATGGGGAGGAAAAAAGAACTTCCTTTTGGAGTCCTAGAAGCTGGTGTGAAGAGATAACTTGCACAGTGTTTTCCTAAATGGACGGGGTGGGTGGAAGAAGGCTACTGTGAACCCACTGCCCAAGGGCTGCATCCACTCTCAGCTTCAACAAACAAAAAGATCCAACCACGTGATGCTAAAACAGACCCTCTCACTGGCTTCAGTGGGGCCAGCCATGTCCCCTGTGCCAGGTGCCAAGCTGGTGCTGGTATGACCCCTTGGAGTGACCATCAGCAGGAGGTGGAGGGTGCTCATCCACTGAGGGGTTAAATCAACTGCTAATTAGAGTAACTGAAGTGCAAATTGTCTTCTGCAGGTCTCCCTCCACCCTGAGGCATGCAGGGGAAGGATGTTTGAGGCAGTTCAGTTACATTGCTTCACTTTTGTGGAGGGATCATAACCCCATCTCAGGAAAATGCTCAAAGCTGGTGTCACTGGCAGGAACTTGGTGGCGGGGATGTATGCATGCCCGTGGCAGAGCTCTCGTCGCATGGACAGGTGCCAGCAAGGCTCTGTAGCATGATTTGGGTATCAAAGTAAGGGTCTGTATATCCCCCTGGCTACCCTGAACCTCTCTGGTGCTGCTCCTTGGGTGTATTGAAGCCAAAACTGGTAATTCAAAGAGCTATCTGTGATTTCTGGATGTGACATGGAGGGGGCTCTTTTGTACCTGCGTGGGGTATTTAGGGAGCAGCAAGGCTCCACCATGTTGAAAGATAAATATTTTTCCTGGGGGTCCGTTCCAATATCAGTGGGTTGAAGGAACCAGGCCCACTGGGGTGTCACAGGCAGCTCAGCTGAAATTCCTGGAAGTGACAGTAAGGAGCCTGCGAGCGCTTCAATTTTCTGGCAATCCCACTCAAGCACACATAAGGTTTAGCACCCAAATTCAGTGGCTTCTGAGACATTCTTGGCCATGCTGTAGGCCTGGGGGAAAACCAGCTTCTCTGAAGGATTTGGCCCGAGAGAAGCAGCTCATGGCATCTGGCGCAGATGGGAGCATTTTGCCTGGTGGGTTCCCAGCAGCGCAGGGAGCTGCTTGTGCCTATGGTCATGTTTGTGAGTGTGAGCATTCACAGACTGCTTGCTCAGCTCAGGCAATGTGATGCACTTGTCTTCAGCATCCACAAAGCTGCCTTGGCTGGTGAAGGGGGCTTCCCTTGCACTCACTGTCAGTCACAGCTTAGTCAGTAAGGACATAACTGCAGTGGAGTAATATCAGTGTTCTTTTATTACTTCGTCTTTAATTTCTGCTGAAAGCCTTTCTCACAGGAAAGGGGAAGCTGCTGTCCTTGAAACTTTTCAAGATAAAACCTTCTGTATCAAAGAGCCACGCTCAAGAGTAATAACTGGATTTTTATCATACAAAAATAACTGCAGGGAATTTTTTTCATTAATAATGCACACTTCAAACATCAGTAAACCCAGTCCCAAGGGAGACTGTGCAGCCTCCAGCCACAGTGATTCCACACTCAGGTCAGGGATGAACTTGACTTGCCCAAATTGGCTTCAGGGCTGCTGATCGCAATGCGTGTTTCCAGCCAGATGTGGCCATCAGGTCTGGGCCTGAGCACAACTCACAGCAACTGCTTACACATTTTCCTAACAGTGCAGCTGGCTTCCTGACGGTCTGGAGGAACCTAGGTAGGTACATCCTGTACTCAGAGAAGTGCAATCTTATTTGAAATCTCTTTATAGAGTTAATGACTATGTAAGATCCAGTAGAACAAGACATCATTAAACACTGTCTGTGTTCACAATCAACTTCTTGATCATAATCTGGGAAGAGAGAGCATCCAGCAATATGCTACCCATCCCCAGAGAGTGGGGAGAAGAAATTCTCCTCTACTGGAGCAGGTAAGGCAAAAATGATAATTGCATGGTTGGTGTGGACATCTTGCAGCCCCGTGTGGCTTCATCCACACTGCAAGGTGGCTAAACTACTCTCAGAGAGAGGGGAACTCTGCCGTAAAGGGTCTCCAAGCCCTGACGCTACATGTTAGTTCTTGCATCTGCCAAGGGTGAGAGCAAAGTGCTGCCCCTGACTTTGCACGTGTGTCACCTGCAGACAGGGTGCTGGGTCAGTGCAAATGTACCTGCATTACATGCAGCTGACATGAGCTTTCTAGGGGTTTTTGCCAAAAATTTATGGACCTCAGTGGAAAGCAACAGAGGTCCTGTTGCAATAAGGTGTGAGAGGATGAATGCCAGAAATAAAGGGCAATGGGCAGTTGAGCAGCCATATTTTTGTGAGCAGGTGAGTCCCCATTTGCCAGGCTGGGCTGTGTCCAGGCTGGTTTTTTTAGGAGCAGAGCTAGATGGAGCAGAGCTCACATTGTGTCTTCAGGTCTTTCATCTGCACAGCTGGCTCCTGGGCAGTTATGGTTTGCAATTAGATAACATGGGGAAAAGAAAAAATAATTTAGTTTGAGTAGGGGGATGTGCTTTAGAGCTAACAGTACAATTATTTTACTTTCAGTGGAGGAAAAAGTTCATTTGAGTTTATTCTTTGAAGGGAACTCCCTGTCTTCAGCTTATGCTCTTTTCCAATGTAATCTTTCTGTGGTTTGATGAACTATTTTTAATAACTCTTCTGGCATTTTATTTGCTCATCTATAATAATTTCAAATTGCCTGGGAATCACTAGAGGATTTCAGAGACACACATTGAAAATAATAAGTAAAAAAGTCCTTTGGAGATATTATGATTTCTCTCTGGTTTTGTTTCTTCCAAGGCAGCCTCCAGCCAGCCTTGTTTCCATTCACAGTGGAGTTGTATGGTGCATCTGACACTTGGCAAAGCCCAGCACCTCCCCCTTTTCTCCTCTCCTTCCCTTTTTGAAAAGAGATGGCCCTGGGTTTAAAAGTTGATTTTTAGCTTTGATTGTGTGTATGTGCTATACGAATGCTAAGCAGCCTTTACAATGCATCCCAGGAAGGCAGACGCAGGCTGTGCAGCTCCCTGGCTTCCCATCATTCCTATGGCTGCGGTGTGGTTTGATATGAACATGTTTTATTTACGAGCAAGCTTTAGGGTGAATACAGCCGTTTTATGGGCGGTAGCTGAGGGACCAAACGGGCTGAGCTACTGACACTTGTAAATCTGCCACATTTGGAGCTGTTTTCTGCTGTGGAGGAGAGGTATTTTCCCTAATGGTGCTGTAGGCTGGAAAAAGAGGAGACTCCTGAGAAGCTGCAGGGACCTGGCACAGATGTGTCCTGCCTGGATGATGAGTGTAGTTTTGGCTCCTGGGTAAACATCCTCTTTCTTGCTTCCAGCCCATCCTTTCTCAGGATCATGAGTAGCAGTGTCCCAAAGCCAAGGGGAAAGTTTCTCTTACCTGCTGCCTCAACGGAGTTCAAGCAGCTGAGGCTGCGGTGTTGCTGTTCCATCATTGGTGCCTGCACCAATAGACTAAGAGCCAGAAAAGTGGACATTGAGAAAGCACTAGTGTGAATTCAGCCTCTTCTCCTCCATTTGTGTTTAGTGTCCCAAGTTTACCCCATGCAGTATTAACATATCAAATCCCCCAGCTCTTTCAGGACATCCCTCTGACAGCATGGGCATCATTTCCCTCCAGCTCAGCGGAGGGTTGGAGGCTTATAGCTTTGCAAAAAATATGGCCTGGCTTGTTCCCCTTTTTAAATCAGTCCTTCCCTTCTGGATGAGGTGACACGTCCTTCTGAGACCTGTGCAACTGGGGATGCTGGTATATATTTTCATAACAGAAATCTGCAAGCTGTCACAAGGCTAGAAGAAGAGAGCACCTGTCCTCCCTGGGGTATTTTCAGACTCACTACCATCTTTCCATGCTCCAGTTGATAACTAGAGATAAGGGATGAAGCCAGAGTCAGGAGCTGTGGTCACCTGTGGTTTTT